TAAAAACTACTTTGACTTCTGCATAGATAAATGATTATTCTTCAACATTACAATGCTGAAAACTTGATTTTGACCTCTCAGCAGCTTTTTGTTCATGATAACCAGAAAAAGGTTTGTTTAGCAAGGGACTTGCAAATAAAAATTTGTTTAGCAAGGGCTGATCCATGGGGAAATTAACATTTTTAAAATGCTGAACACAAAAAACCTTGTTGATCCGATTAATTATGATGACAAAGTGTTCATGCCTCTTCAAGAAAAACAAAGGCAGTTTGCACTGCATACTCCTTTCTTTTTCCTCTGATTACAGCTGCATTTGCTTGTTCAGCTGCTTTGAATTTCCAATGACATGAGTGTTTCCTCTCTCTACACCTGAGCTCAGGGTCAAATACGCAAATGAGGCACATGCCTAGGACCCTAAGTGAAGAATGGGCCCAGTTGTGTTTATTTCACATATTATAATCATTGAGTGAAAAAAGTAGGGGTCTACGAGTTTGTTGGCCTAGGGCCAACTAAAGGGTTAATCCAGCCCTGCCTGAGCTATCCAACTTCTAAGCAGCTGGAGCTGAACACCCCACAGATTTTACCACTGGAGGCCACAGGCCGGCAAGCTGTACCAAGGTGAGCCATGGGACCTGGGCCATGTACCATGCGAGCACCCCTCCACCACCAATGCGCCACAGCTGCATGGGCACCTTCCTCATTGCTCCACAGTGTAGCCCCAGGTTTTCCCACAGCTTCCCATGCCATGCTGCAGTGCCCTATCCCCTGGGGCAGTGTAAAGAAATGGAAGCTGGAGGAGGGAAGGAGAGCCTGGAGACTCTGACAAGGAGGGAGCAGAGGCCAGGCAGGCACACAGGGGCTGCAACTTAACACCTTGCAGATCACAGGCAGCTCGCAGGCTGCCATTTGGACAGCCCTGGTCTATACCATAGTTCTCAAGCAGTTGGCCAATAATGGGGCTGGGCTACTGCACATTAGCTTATTGCATGTAAACATTTGGGGAATAATCTCTAAGGCCTGGGAATGTTTTAAGGGGGCCTTGCCAGGGAGAAAGAAGTGTTTAGCTGTCATGAGACTGTGCGTCAAGATTCTTAAGTTTGCTCTTAAGATACTTCCTTCCCTTCCCTCCCAGGGTATGTTTCAGAGATGATCCACCTCCGTAACTGATTCTTCATTCAAGCTGAGAATTAACAGAGAGGAGACAAGGGGACCTGTTGGGTATGAAGAGGGACTGGGAAGCTGTTGACCTGCTGGTAAGGAAGGAAGCATTTATCAGCACTTCCTTACTGTTGGGGTGTGAAGGACAATATAGGGGGTCAGGGATAAAAATGTGGCACTGTTTTGTGATTCAAGAGTTGAAAGGCAGGAAGCTACACAAGGTCCTTAGTATCTGAGATCATTTTTGCATAGCTACAGAAGAAACTCTTACAACTGTTTCCCTAATAAAGCATAAAGCTCAGATCAGCAGGAAAAAAGGGAAGCTGGAAAGCCGCTTATCTCCTTTAAAGGCAAAAAGATAATTTTGTCTATTCATGTCCCATTTAGATACAGACAGTTCTAATGGACTGTGTGAAACCTTCTTCTTATTATTATTATTACTGTGATCAAATTAAAGAACATAATCCACACAACAGACAATTATTAATTCACGGGACAACATATAGCAGAGGTGGGCAAAATGCAGCCTGCAGGCCGGATATGGCCCACCAGGCCATTCTATCCGGCCTGCAGGGCCCCTCAAAAATTTAGAAAATTAATATTTATCTGCCCCTGGCTGCCCATCATGTGGCCCTGTATGGCTTGGCAAAACTCAGTAAGCAACCCTGATGTATAGCATGTTTTACTCTATGTGCATTTTGTGCAGTGTTATTAACAAAGATGTTTGCACCCATAACATGTAGTGAGGTATTGTATCTTGAAGGCAATTTTGTGAGGCACATATAAATATTGTAGGGCATTCAGAAAAAGACCTCATGTCATCAAATCTTAGGCATCTGCTATTTTATATTAAATATTAATTAAATAAGCAATCAATAAATACATATTAACATATTAACCATAATACCTGTCCTGAAAGAGCTAGTAATGCTGACTTCTATGGGTATTAAAGGAGTAATTTTCAGCCACCACAAATCTGAACTCTCAGAAACAGATATTATTCTTCAGCATAACTGTATACTTTGATGCATGTGCTATAGGAAGTACAGTGTAATCAAAAGCATGGGAACCTTTAGCAAATATAATTGCAAAAGCCCTTTTGCAAAACAACTACTTATGACCCATTTTCCAAAGATAACTCCAGCCTGCTCTTCTTGGGCATAATTTTTAAAGGATGTCTGTGGTTTTATTTTCTGTTTTCAGTCAGTCAATAAGGCTTTGCCAGGGAAGATGAGATGGTCTTGTGAATAAAGCACTGAGATCGAGAGACCTAGATTCAATTTCTGGCTCTGACACAAGTTCTGCATGTGGCCTTGGAGAAATCACTTAGTGTCTCTGTGTTGTAGTTCCTCACTGGTGAAAATGAGATAATACTTCTTTTCTCCATAAGGGTTTTATTGAGAATTCAACTGATCAGTGTTGATGATGTGCTCAGATACCATGATAGAGCTTTACACTGTATGTGCCTAGAGACATATAAGACATCTATACATGTGCTCCAGGGTGAAGGGGGAGACACTAATTAAACACTAATAATTAAAGTGTACACAGCATCACATGTATTCAGCATCCTGCATTTCAAAATGGCAGCAGGGGTGCTTTAACTAAACTCGACAAACAAGCTTCAGTTAAAGAGCCCCTGCCACCATTCTGAAGTATAGGGAACTGAATACATGTGACGTGGATGCTGCTGGAGTGGGCCAACTGGAGCGTACATCAGCAGACTCACTTAATCAAGTCTGCTCCAATGCATGTGAATTAGAACACATCGGAGCAGACATCCAGCATGTGCATAGAGAACTGCAATAGCAGATAAAAGACAAAAAAAAAGATGCCACACACTCCCAGAAGGAACAACTACTAGATGTCTGGGGAAAGTACCACTAACACTCTCATAAGTTTTGACCAGGAACCTAAATTTGCATCACATACTGGATCTTGATCTTGAAAATTCAACGAATCAGTGGCAGCTGACTTTATGCACATTGTATGGTTAGAAATGTCACATGGGATGTAGTGGGCAATGTGGCAATGAGTATGGATTTTCTTCACATTTAAAACTATGTCTGAAGCCTACCAGCTTAAACAGTGTGTACCTGCTGGCTGGCACTGCTTTGCCTGACATCAGAAGAGCAGTGGCCAGCAGGACAGAATGATCAAGACAGAATGATCAAGACGAACTGAAGATGCGAGACACCCGCTGTATGACCATCCCGCAGCATACAAACGTCTGAAGTCATGCAGGAGCTCTCTCACCAGCACCCAAACTCTCAATGACATACCGAAGGAGACATGACTACAGCTGCAGAATTACAGGCTGAATAAAATACCTGACGGTGGAAAAAATGGACATTCCAGTGACTAAGTCCTTATCACCAGGGGCTGATGAACCATGGCAAAGGTGGTGATGTCTCAACTACCTACGTACCGGAGTTGGATCCTCTAAGGAACTAATGGAGAAGTGGGGCTATACCAGGGGTGGGCAATTATTTTGGGTGGAGAGAGGCTTACTGAGTTTTGTCACATCATCGAGGGCCACATGACAGGCAGCCAGGGGCAGATAAATATTAATTTTATAATTTTTTTTAGGGGCCCTGTGGGCCAGATAGAATGGCCTGGTGGGCCGCATCCAGCCCACGGGCCGCATTTTGCCCACCCCTGGGCTATACCATTGGTTCAACCACCTGTGACTGCAGCACAGAGCCTCAGACTATGAAATACCTGCTGCAATGGCTGCTGCTTGAAGGCACATGTACAATGAAAGATCTCACAAAGTACAATAAACGAGCACAAGCAAGTGTAACAAAATGGTCAAAAGTGGTATAGAGACATTAGAAGGAGAAAACTAGGTTGAATAAAATACTAAAATGCTATGTAAGGAAAAAATTGTGGTTGGGTAAGAAAAAGAACCCAGTCTGTGCAATACTGGCAAGTCACATGATCCTGGGTCTCACCTCTCTGTTTGCAGATGTTTCTGCAGATCTCAAAACTCTTCACTGTAAAGAGTTTAGGAGTGATTCTTTCACCCACTAATGCTCTTCATCAACGATACACAGACTAGCATGGATGTGGATGTTAATTATATATTGTATTTACTAATACATTTCCAGGAATTCAAAGACACAAGACAGCTGCATATGTAGCATGGAAGGGCCACAGTTATTTCAGTCAAAAGGCCAGTCATCCTCAAAGAGGATACAGTATAGTCTCCCAAACTACCCATGCGGTCAGAGGTTATTCCTTCCTTGCATAGTTTCCCACACACATCTAATTACTCTACGTTACTCTACAGAGGAGAAGTGAATTACATCCTCAGGGTGTCTTCCTTTTATCACCTCACTAATATGTCTTAATAGCTCAACAAAAGCTTAAAATAAACAAGCAAAAGCTAAGAATGTATCCTTTACCCCAACATCTGTGTAGGATGATTTTCTTTGTGGTTGAAATTAAAATATCTTTAAAAAATATTTAACTAGAAAATAAATAGTTGGACTACTAATAGCTGTAAATAGCCAGTAAAAAAATGTATGGGCACTTATAGATGTGCTATATTCAGAACTGAGTTTGATCTTTACAAGCGATTATAGAGAAAGCCAATTAATGTGAATCAGCTTTGTATCACAGCAAGTTATTTAAATATGATAGAGTTCATAATAGAAATCCAAATTAGAAATGAGAAGCTGAATTATTTCAATATTTCTACAGGATTAAATTGTCACAGACTCTTCAGCATCATTGTGGTGATTCCTTCTTTTACCTAAAAACCAGATGACTCAAAGTGTGTGAGTAATGTGTAGCTGACTTCTCAACACCTATGTGGTGTAGCACTGCAAAATACTCACCAACATTTGCTGGATGTGAAACGTGTCGGCCCCAGTGGCAGAGAGACGGTTTGGGAATGAAATGTCAACAAAAGCTTCAGGGAGAGTGCTTGGTCCAGTGTTGTAAACCTTTAAGTGTTAAAATATATGTAAATATATGAACCCGTATGAAAAGTAATGAAAGGCAGAACTAAAATTCTCTTCATTAACATTGCACAGTCACTCAAGTTAGGTAAGGATTACAGATGAATTTCTAAACAATGTGATCATTTTGCCAGCTTTTCAAGTCCTCTTCAATAAAGGTTCTCTTGCACAAACCAGGGGCTACAGAACCAGATGCTGCTCCTCTGATAATATTCTTCTCTAATACACTAACGTATATAGCACTGGGACACACAATTACAAGCCATCAGTTACCAATATAAATAACATGTGGCTTTTGTCCTTAATATGAGGACTCTGTTAATGAGTTCCTTTTTAGTATTTTAATAACGCTGTCCAAACAATGCAGAGAATACTGCTGTCCCTGTTCAACACTGCCTTTTTATTTGGTAAACACTGTGCTCTATTTTGTCCATGTTTGTCTTAAGGAGCAAAAGCCAGATCAGTGATGAATATGGCTAGTGCAAATAGTTGGTTCATTGACCAAGTGAATAAGAAAAGCATTTAAACAACCACTACTTCATTTATGATGTGGATTTTTTAATTGAAAGTAAAAATTAGGCCATGATATCAGCTTTCTGCAACAAATGTTGGATCGTTTGTTAAGAAGACAAACATTTCTAGTGAAAAGTGATATGTATGGGTTAAAATAAAACATTACTAGCTGAAGATCCCTGATGTTTGTGTGTCAAACTTCCCTGAGGAAAATGAAATTGAAATTACATGCATTTTCATTTCTCTGTGGTTTTTTGTGGGGGGAGGAACGTTTTTTTACCAATCTCCATGATCCTGTACATGCACACACAAGTATATGTTTATATAAGAAAACCTTAAAAAAAAAACAAAATGAGAGTGATAATTTGTTGCCCAAGCATGTGGAGATCTACACCAGTACTGTTGTGAACCTGGTAGACTGTAAACATTAAAACATCAAACCATTGTGCTTCAAGCACTGTTTATATTTCAAGGAATGCATGAATGATAAAGAGGACTGGTGCATAATGCCAAGACCTTACAAAAACCCTGAGGCACAAGAAAAGGAAAGAGATCCCAATTATAATGAAGTGTAACAAATACAGAGGGAACATAATGTAACAAATTATACATTTAAAAAAGGAATAATATCACCATGATCAGGAAGAAGAATTAAGGATAAGTGTGAAGACATCACATGACTTGCAAGAGAGCAGAATGCCAGGTCTTTTTCTATACAAACATCTTGACGTTGAACTCAATACAGATTTTGATATACCCATCCCGCCCAAACTATAGCAATGAATCTCTTCTGTTGAGAAACTCTCACTTTTCTCCATCTGGAAAGTTGAATGCGTGGCGGCAAATTATTAAAAAACAATTAAGCAAATTGTGATAAAAACCATGCTTTGGCCATTATGAAACACTTCTCTCTCTCACACACATACACACACACAGTCTTGAGGTCTATCACTTTACTGGACAGCAGGCCTGTGACTTGTTATAGAATAATTTTCACTTGCCATATGGCAAACCCCTCTTCTATTGAAACTTGTATGTATTTGCGTGAGAGAGAGAAGATCAGGATATATTACAAATGTATAGATGTTATCTGTATACCTGATATCATTTGCTTTTATTGAAAGTAATCACCTAGTCAAAGCATTAGTACATCTGGTCTTTATCTGTGTCTAACCAACAACTGACTATGGAAAAACTGTAAATCCTAAAGAATGACTTCAGAATCACAGGAAGTAATTGCTTGGTTCACAAGACCTTTAATAGCTTAAAATCCCAGTCTGAACATAGTTAAGGGCAATGCATGACAGTAGGGGCTTAATTGTTCCAGACTATGCTCTGCCCATGAATGAAGACATGTGTTACCCATTAGGAGTTAAAGGGGCATCATGCCTAGGAGGAAAAGAAGGAGAGAGGAAAAACTTGTTTACAATATTCAGCAAATGACTAGCCCACATCTGTATGATTCTTTCAATCCCTAGTTCCACCTAGTGGTAAAAAAGCATTTGAAAAGAAAAGTATAAAATGGAGCTGCAGCAACAGAATCAGTTAATTTTCATTTCATCACAAGATCTGGTTCTAACATGCAGTTCATATTAGCTTCACCAGGAAGCCCTTTTTCTATGTGAAAAGGGTGATTTGTAAGTAAGTTTAAGATACAGCGCGGCATGCTTAAAAGGAACCCTTCTCACCTCTGCCCTCTGCTATCAAATTCTCACACAGACACATATGGGCTGCAGATAGCTCAACCCTATTATTTACACTACTCTAGAAGTAAGCACTTTGTACACATTTTCATATCAGAGGACTGAAAAAAGCAGGTCTTTTGAGTGGGCACTTTCTTGGTCTCATAAATGAATGCTTCCCATTTCTTAGTTCAAGCACTATGCCACTGAACATGACTCCAATTGAATCTCCACTTTTAAATCTTGGATTGAACGCAAGATGCAATGAACAAAGGTTTAAACTTGGCAAGGGGGTGAAGAAAGGGAAAACAGGCCAAACAACAAATTTGCAGTTTCCTGCTCATGAAACTGGGATGCCTTTTTGATTCTTTAAAAATACATTACGGTAAAGAAACAAATACTACATTAGTTCACTGTGAACATAACATCCTCCAAGGTAGGCATCATACTGTGTTATAATAACGAATGGTCCCCAATTCCTTAAAATTAAGGAGGCCACAAAAAATAAAATATGCTGTGAAGAGGGAAAACTGTAAAAGTGGATTGACTGATTTTACCTGAAGAGTGAAGTTGAGGGGTTGAAAAATACATTCATAATTCTCCAACTGAACAAAGTTTGATGTTTCCACAGAATCACCATAGACAAAGGATGTGGGTGAGACAGCTCTGAAAGATTAAAACATCAATTCAGTCACTTCTGGATGTTTTCAAGATTAGATACAGTTGTGGATGGAAAGCCTACTACAGAGTTCATCCAGTTTAGCTCAGTGGTAAGGAGACATTACACAAGGGAGACCTCCCACTCTTACTCTATCATCTATGATTTGTTCCCCTCTCAGCAGTAATACGTTAAATACAGACAATAGTAACAGTCTCTGAATTTAATCCTGCTGCTGTCGTCACCCATTTACAACCTAAGCACATCACTTGCTCTTGAAAATGCTCTATTAGAAGGATGTCTATTGACCAGTAAGAGTTGGTTTGGGCCTTACATGAACATGTCTCTTCAGTGCTTGCTTTCTGTAAAGAAGTATGTAATCAAATTGACAAGGATAAATGCCTGCAGAAAAATAATCTCAGTAATTATAATTTCACATGGGTTTTTGTGACAACCAAAATACAGATGTGTTCACGCAAGTTTTCATGTCACTGACTCATAGGGAATTTCTACAAAGTACAGAGTAGTGTTGTGTAGAGATGCCCAAGTTAGAGAGTGCCAAAAGCAATACAGTTGCTTTGTTGCAGAGCTGTGCCCAAGTTAATTTACCCTGTTTCTGAGTATGTGTTCAGGACCTGTTGAGAAACAAGGTAAATGAGACCAGGAAGGTCCACACACTAACACAATTTGTGCCATGCAGATGCACCCATAGATCCTAAGACCTCAAGGGACCCTAGTGATGATCTGCTTTGACCTCTTGCGTATCACAGGCTGGAGGACTTCCAGGAATTAATCTTTGTTTGAACTACAGCAAAAATGTTTATCTGATGAGGCTACTAAAAGTAGCATCATCTGATTTGTCCAACAAATTATAACCCACCCACGGAACTGAAATATTCAGTTATTAAAGGTATTTTGCTGTTGGTCCTCAGAGGTTTTTGAAAAATATGTTTAATGCAATGTTTTAATACAACAATCAGATCACCAGCTGGTAACAGAACTATCTCATTTCACACCAACAGAGGACCTAACCAGTTGACTTAAATCAAGCAAAACTGAAAGGGACAGCTTTTGCCTTTTGCAATGAAGAGTCAAGGAATAAAATGCATAAACAGTGTTGGAAGCAGACTACAACCCAGGTCTCCTCAATCCCAGGAGGTGGACTGCAGAGAGACATCCTTCCCCTCATTTACTCTCTCTCTGGCCAACAACTTTGGACTTCTTAGTTGCACCTAGCCTATAGGTTGGTGCTTAGGGCACTCTCCTAGGAGGTAGGGATGAGGTTTGAACCATCTCGGGCCAAGGAAAGCATTGAACCTGGGTTTCTCGCTTGCTGAACAAGTGGCTGTCACTGTTGTGTTCTGTGCTGAACTCAGGGCTTCTGGTGCATGTTAGGCATGTGTGTTAAGTTCACAGCACATGTCCCTCAGTGGTTTTAGGGTATGTCATACTTGTAGACAAGGATCTTTGGATAAATCTGATATCTTTTATTAGACACACTAAACTAGTTGGAAAAATACTTTTTTGCAAGGTTTCAGGTAAAAACACCCTTCTTCAGGCAGCGGAAGTGTCTGCAGTATTTTTGTGCTCTTGCTGGACTTCAGACAACAACTGCAAATGCTTCCTCTGCCTGAAGAAGGGTGTTTGTACCCACAAGCTTGCAAAGAAGAATTTTTCCAACTATTTTAGTTGGTGTAATACAAGATATTGGATTTACTCAAAGAAGCTTGTCTGCCTATGTCTTTAGACCAACACGGCTACAATCAACACCCCTGTCATACCTGCAGCATTCTGATAGAAGGATGCTCCTGAGTATGCCCTTCCTGCCTGCTCCTGCTTGGATGAACCAAACCTGCAAACTGAGTTGCATCCCTGCTTCTGGTGTGGCCCCCTATGGCCAGTATCAAGATCATTCTCTCTGGCATGCTTGGGACAGTCTAATGGTGGCTTCAGTGTGGCATTTCCTTATCCATAGGCACAGGGTGGGCCTTAGTTATAAATATCAAACAGGTTTGTGCATGATAGGTCTCAGATGCTCACAGCCCAGTCAAAATCAGTTTTAGGCATAAGTAGTAGCAGGAATTTAGGTACCTAAGAAACTTTAGTGGCAAAAATATAAGTGTCCATAGACTATCAGTGACCTAACATGGCTAGGTTCGATTTCTGTGGATCATTTACTTGGATTTAGAATCCTAAATTTCTATATGTAGGTGTTTTTCTGGATCTTGCCATTAACTCTTTACCAAGCATCCAAGATATTTTCATGTAGCTACATCTAACATATTTTAATCAAGTAATCAATGCTAATTATATAGCGTTTATATCTCCTGAAACTTAGAAAATATTCCAAAATGTTTGACATTTCTTGGGCTTTTTTTTTTTCTCTTCACAATAACTCTTTTTTTTCCACAACATTTGGATTTCACTTACTGATGGGCAGAGACCCAGGGCAGAAAAAATCCTTTTGCTCATGTAAAATTACCAACCATGTTGAGAAGCAAGGGACTTACCAAATTAAATTCTGAGTGTATAATTGTTTCCATGACTATATATTCAACTCCGTTCTTTTAAGATAATGACCTTTATACCCCATTACATCGATGGATTTTTTTCTCTGTATGTGGGAATTTTTGTACTTGTCAGTCTAACGCAAAGTTTAACAAGTTCAGAGAATCAGGTCATATAAATACAAAATCAAACTACCGGGGATATGCAAGCCAACGCCAAATATCTTGTGAGAACAGGCTCTCTCATAAGATCTCTAGCATGTCCTACTTCCCATAGGCACAGAAATAACCACAAAGGCAGCCTTTCTTGTGGTATTGCAACATAAGCCTTCTTGGGGCCTGGAATTACAAACATATCCCAAAAAAGAAAAAAAAACAAACCCAAAACCCTAGACTTTTCCTGCCTCCAAAAGGTTTCACGTGGCGATTTGACTGGGGGCGGGGGAGGTTCCAAGTAAACCCACACCTTTCACACATCTGAATACTGTGAGCATTATCACAGTATTAACACAACTTTATTTCTTTGTATTGAGATATCCCAAACTTCCACTCATCTGACTACAGTGAGCAACTAAGGGGAGTTAGGTGACTGTCAATATTTACTTCCTGGGTTCAAATGACCCACTCATGGGATGCAGTAAAAGCAGCTGTTCTATAGATAAATACCCCAACTGGGAAGAAACTGTAAACTACGTTGGCCAAGTATAGACCATTTTTCCGCACTAGTGACTAAACAACTTTATTCTGAGTCAAGAGATAGATTGCTGGCTTGAACTAAACCATGAATCTACAGAGCTAAGTCTGGTAAAATTTCAGGTCCATTATTTTAGAGGCAGGAGCAGATGCATCAAATGTATAACCTGGATTCTTTGCAAGGTTAGGTTCCTTATCTTCCTGCAACAATGAGGTTTGCAAACTAGCTGGTGGTATACACAGCTTCAGCAAGCAACTGTGTGGCTTGTCCTTAATTTGGCAACCCCACTCTGAATTAAGTAGGTTGTGAACCCTGCCAGTGCAAGTAATACAAGTAATAGTCTACTTGATCATTGTATGAGATCTAAGCACTGGGGGATAATAAAGGTAGAGTGTTACATAGGGGTACTGGTTGTAGCTGTGTTGGTTCAAAGATATGGGCAGACAAGGTTCTTTGGGTGAATCCAATATCTTTTATTAGACCTCAATTAGTTAGAAAAATTCTTCTTTGCAAGCTTTCAGGTACAAATACCCTTTGTCAGGCTGAGAAAGCATCTGCAGTTGGTCTGTGCTCTTCCTGGATGAAATAATAAAGATGCCAGAAGCCCGCATGCATGCGAGAAAGCCAGTCAGTTAAAAACATATTTCAGTTCAGATGGTAATTTGGATCTTTCTTGTTTTGTCAAATTCCTTTTGGACTGGGGAAGCGTTCAGAGTAATTCTGATTGTGAAATTAAACAGCTAGACCTCACATGCTTTGCAGAATCCCAGAACCCTTTGGCCTGATAAAACTCAGCCATATCTTTAGGCAAACCTCAGGAATGAGATTTGATTCATTTGGCATTTTCTTTTCTTTTTTTAATTTAAAGATTCACCATGTTCATGAAACTGCAGCAATTTATATCAGTCACTAAACTATCTAAAGTTATGGGGGAGAGGAAACATGCTGAGAAGGTTACTGAAGGAAGAAGTGGGGAACTGATAAATAAATCCTAGATAATGAATGAGGATGTCCTGGTTGCAGAGTCTGGGAACCAGAAACAAGCAACATTCTGGTCACATATAAACAAAGAGAAGAATGCAATTTTCCACTGGATGGGATTCACATGTTATTCTTAGGATTTTTTTTTATTATTATTATTTATTTGATAACTGCTCACTCACCCAGTGATAGAAGAATCTACTTCATGCATCAGAGGTACAGCCAGGATGAGAGTATTGTCATGTAGAGAGTCAGTATGCTCTAGGTTTCCACTGTGTTGAAAAGGAAAAATAAACAAGCTGTAAATCCACAGCCTGGGCAGTAAATCACAAGAATAGCTAAGCAGCTACTTTCTCATGTCTGTCTTTTACTCTGTCTCAATGATGTTTCTCCTTACTGAGCCTCTTAAAGGTTAAGGGTTACATTTGTAAAAGATATCCTGGGAGGGACACACACACACACACATTTAAAACTTATTTGCAGACTGTTGTGAATGTACCTATCAGACACACACTGAGAATGTACCCTTAATACAAGAAGCATCTAAATTCATTGAATATGAAATACTAAAATAAGTCTCCATCTGACAGAGTGGACACAAGAAAAGGAATTTAAAATAAAGCTTAATATCTCATTTTTACTTACCTAATTGTGTATCAGTTTTGAAGAGATCTTGGAACAGTTTTGAAGTCCTACTCTTCTCAGTTTAACAAATGAGGCTACAGTTGGGCAACTTTCATTAGCCTTAATAACAAGTACACAGCTTGGATCCCCTGCATACTGATCTAGGCACATACCCTTAAAAGCCAAATTTAGTCACTTATCAAAATGCATATTTTGTTTTTAATTGGTGGCTACTGCCACCAGTGAACAGGCAAAAGGAAGTAAAAGGAGTACATATATCATCATGCATATAATTAAGGTAATTCCTTTGAATAGGAATTTTTCGGATAATAAGTCTTGAAAAGCTTCAGAACTCCAAAGCATGCCACTAGTATCATAGTGGGGAGGGGAGGGGAGGGGAGGGGAGGG